CCCCGCCGCTCGCCTCCGGCCCCACCTGTCCCCGCCCCCCCACTCATTGGCGCCGCTCGCTGCCTGGCTCCGCCCCCCGCGGTGTGATGAGCTTGCGCGGCCTCAGAGCCCCCTCCCCACATGAGAGCAGTGTCCCGCCCAAGCACTGCTGGTGTAGGGGGAGAAAGGGGGAGCGGGTTAGACACAGGACACAGCGTGCATGTAGAGTAGACGAGAGCCCAGTGGTCGAAGCACTCGCCCAGGGGGGTGTAGGTGCATCTTAGACCTCAGACACCCACCTCCCCGCTGCATGTCATTGCTCCCAGGGGAGGGTGGGGGTCTTGTCCCTGGTGCGGACCAGAATTGCCAGCCTGGTCCAAAGAAACATGGGTCAAAACTGGTACATTTCTGGAAAAAGTCTGGGTTAAAAAAATAATCATCGTTCTCTGATGGAAACCATTTGGACGCAAGTGCCCAGGCCATTCTGCTCAGGACCGTGCCGTTAGTCCCCATTGTCGGTCTCCCGTTAGTCCACGTTACTCCAGTCACGGGGAGGGGGTCTCTATGATACCCCTTTTCACATCCCCACGCCGCCCCCACTCGCATCGTTACAACCCGGCCGCGCTTCATCAGTAACGACAACACGTGAGGCAGAATGGAGAGCAATGGCGCAGCCATGCAACGTCAACCAGTGTCCCGTGCTGTAAGCACCACATACCCCAAACCCACGCGGAAATTTTATTTCTTCCTCAACCCCTCAACTCGGACAACAAAGAAAACCAAAGCAAACACACAAAAAACAGCTCCCGCCGTCTGTGTATGCTTCAAAACGGTAATGTGTCCCAGTGCCTGTGACGAGCATAGCTGGCGGAGAAGACTGAGACCATATCTGGACCATGAGCTTAGACCAGTGCCGGATTATGACATGCTGAGGCCCTAAGCTATGTCCATTTTAGGAGGCCCCGTGTGATAAAAATAATCCACAAACATGGATTTTCATGAAATTAAGATGAATTATTTCTGCACAAATTTATGAACTCAGTATGAATACCTGGAGCCATATAGAAGTATATTTTTGTCATATTACAACAAAAATGTCCATTTTTTTTTCTTGTTTAGATGTCCCTCATATTGTGAGGTCCTAAGCCTAAACCCAGCACTAGTTTAGATAACAGAAAGTCATGTCCTCCATAATATATATTACCCCATTTCTAATTTGCTTGCCTAGAAGGGGTTCAAACCAAACTCGCATCCATGGTAACTTTCCTTGAAGTGCCCTGATTTTGTAAATTAGCACCCTTCATACCCACTCTTCCATCCTCCATTATAGAAAGACATGAATTAAACTCAGGGGGCTCGGACCCTCCATGGTTTCAGATGACAATCGCTACATAAATCAGTACATAGATGTATTAAACACATGTCTAAGTATTTTAGCAGTAACCAACCGCCTGTTGAGCTGGGCAGAACAGAACGCATTGTGGAACCATTCATACCTTAGGACTTACCTAAGGCTGTATGCTGATACAATCGAAGGGTCCTTTCATTTTCTCTGACAATGCAGACCCTTCAGTATTTTCAGTCCCAAAAGTAAAAAGTTGAGGTCAAACCCTAGGGACACAGACTGCAAAACAAGTCGATACTCTAAGTAGCTTCAGAACAGTGCAAAAAACCCCAGGAAGGATAACAAGCAGCCAGTGAGCAAGAACAACGGACATCACAAATTCACTGCTTGGCCTTGTTACAAAGATTTTATTGTTTTCTACAAAGATTAAAATATGTAAAAAATGTTCACTACTTTCTGTCATAAAGCAATGCACCGGTATAACTCCATTCTGGCCACAGACGGACACTGGGATTTATTATTAGTGTGTGAGTTCTCCAACTTCTTTGCATGGACCACATTTTAGCAGAGATAGGACCTCGTAGGCTTCCTACTTCCCATTTCTAATCACATGGACGCCATACTCTTTGTGATTATATAACATCCCTGCAGTGGCACACACATTAACAGCTTCTTGTATGAAAGAGAGAGAAAGGAATGTGTTTTAAGCCTCATTTAATGCAATTTGGCAGCTGGGGAAAAATAAAATGGCCAGCACCACGTGACCAACCAGATTATAAAGGAACAACTGGCAAGCCTTCCACAGGCCACGGTTTGAGAACCAGTAGTCTAATTATATAATTTTAGGATTAGGGGCCATTATGACCCAAGTCAAGGCACATAATCTCTAAATGGCTCAGTTTCTCCATTTGCAAAAAAACAAAAAAAGATAATACCCACTACTTCATCTTTCAAATGCTAATAAATGAACATGGATTGTGAATGCCTTATTTTGAGGGAGAGATTTTATCATCTTATTCAAAAGCCATTTAGCTTCACATTTTACCAATGCACTTTAGGATAAGGAAAGTGAATGGCTAAAATGGGTTATTTGAAATACAAGGACCAAATAGGTTTGTTTGTGCTAATGGTCTGGAATATAAAGATTTTAATTGCTTTCTATTGAGGAGATTTCCACATGGACATTACAGACAAAAACAGTTTCAAAGAATTCTCTTAATAATTGGCAGACAGAGTTAAGACACATCAGAGGATTGAGGGCTAGGCACGCAGTTGCACTGCTAATTGTAAGTGCCTGCAAAGATGTAAGACAGACTGTAGATCTGTTGTAAGAAAAGCTCCATTTTCATTTTTCTGAGCAAGGATTGCAGAAATGTGGCTAAAGTGCTTTCCTTTTGTTTGTTTGGGTTTTTTTAAATGTATTGGTCTTGTTCCATTTAATCTGAGTGCCAGCAAGGATGAGGAAGAAATTACCCATAGTTCCGATTCACATGATCTAAGATCTTTCACTGTCAGGTCAACAAACTGTAATGGGCAACCCGGGGAGGAGGAACTGGCTGACCTCATTCAGGGCTAGAGATGCCTTCGCACAGGACACCAATGGCAGGGAGTTAATGTCCTAAAGCAATTCTAAGGGTAGAGTCTGCCCTATAGATGTTCTTGCTGCAACAGGCACATGAATAAAAAATAAAAATAAAAAACAATATCACCTTCTGCCTCTTCTGGTACTCCCACTATACTCCACACTGGTGAGACCCCAGCTAGAGTACTGCATCCAGTTCTGGGTGCCGCACTTCAACAAGGACATGGAAACACTTGAGAGATTCCCGAGAAGAGCCACCCGTATGATAGGGACTTGCAAGACGAGCCATACAAGGAGAGGCTGAGGGACTTGGGCCTCTTCAGCCTACAAAAGAAAAGGCTGAGAGGGGACTCGGTAGCATCTTGCTGCTACATCAGAGGAGTGCATCAAGGGCTTGGTGAACAGCTGTTCACCAGGGCACCCCTGGGGAAGACCAGGACCAATGGATACAAACTCCTGGAAGGCCGCTTCAGGCTCAATTCCAGGAAAAAACTCCTTCATAGTCAGGGTGTCCAGACTGTGGAATAAGCTCCCTCCAGAAGTGGTGCAGTCACTTACCCTGGCAATCTTCAAAAGGAGACTGGACGGTCCCCTCGCTGGGGTCACTTGACCCCAGTTGTCTTTTCCTGCCTAGAGTGGGGGGGCTGGACCCGATGATCTACAAGGTCCCTTCCAGCCCCTTCCAATCTATGAATCAATCTATGAATCTACTGAGCTTTCAGACCAAGTACCTTTGTCAGCAAAAAGCTGGACAGAGAGTGGAAGTAGCAGCAGTGAGCATACAAAACACCACAGAAACTTCCTTTGACAGCACAGATGGAATCAGTCCAAACTGTTTCAATCTACTTGACAAATCAAATGCTGAAAACTATTAAATAAGAGTTGAAATGACAGAATACCAATGTAGCAGCCTTTGAGGGGCACCTCAAAGGGGTACATGGGCAGAGAATTATAGGGACCATGCCTCACTTACATTTATTGGTTAGAGAGAGAACCAAGCCCAAAAAATGCTGGAAAGAGGGCTTGGTTGAAGGGAAAAAAAAGCACCGATGCTTTAAAGTCACCTTACAAAAGTAATAATAGGCATATGGGACAACAGATAATCCAACACCCTAAGAAGGATAAATCAAGCGTGGTAGTTAATGCAAGGCATTTTGTCCATGATAGGGGAGTTTCAGTACATTATGCTGCTTAAGAGGGGCAGGACTCTGATCTCTCAGATGTTTTGCCTCTTTTATATTACTTCGGTGATTTTTGCTGAAGCCAGTCAGGTATCAAGCCCCAACAGATTACATTCTGGTGGCTTTCTCCATGTAAAAGGCACTTCCTTCACCCTCACCAAAACAAACCCACTGCTATGGTGTACTAAGAAATAGAAGATGTGGTAATTCATCCTTGCAGAGAAAAGAAATGGTTTCACAAGCAACTGGAGCAAACTGCAAATGCTATTTTTCTCTATAGCAATCCTGCTGACAAATATTCTTATTAGAATTTGCTCATATTTCATAATTCACTGGACAAAAAAACACAAATAAAAAGCAGCAGCTTTTCAAAATGAAGGAGCTTGGAGCGATTTAAGGCCAATTTAAACATTCAAAACAGCACAGAGGAACCACTTCAGCCCTGAAGAAACATGTCTACTATATGTAAAATCACTTCTTTTTCACAGGTTTCTCCATCCTAAGTTCAGGCAGTCATACTGCTCATACATGGCAATTCTCACAGGTTTTGCTAAAGCAGCCTTTATGTAATGAGTAATTGCACCCCCTTGGATACTGCTATTCTCTGAGTTGGGATTATTCTGATTTTATTATGCTGTACAGCCCCCGCACACTCACTGCCTCTTCAGATCTTGCATGTAGGATTAAAGATTTCAACCGACAAACAGATTAAAAAAAAAAAAGAAGAACCATGTTGCGCAGTGACTGAAGCCAGCCCCCTCGAGGCTAGGGCTAAGCTACGGGAAGTCAGAGAGAGGTCAAGATGACAAATGTGCTTCAGCAGCATTTCTGCAGCCCCACTATTCCCCTTAGCATATGCTGGGGCGGCCACCTTTAAGTTATGCAAAACTGAGCTGTGGTTGGTTTTATCCTGCCACAAACTCTACTCCTGTGTCACGCCACAGCCATCACGTCAGCTGAAACAGCCTGTGTCCCTGTTGTAGGGGCTGGGTATCTCTGTGGCTTCCACTCATTTAGCTTCCTCTGCACTTTTCTGTTAAGAGGAGACGCTGGCATTAACTGTCCTGTAAAACCTCGACGAGGACACCCGGGTGTGAAGGGCAATATGCATTTTTCAGTTACAATACCAGGAGTTGGGATTTAACCTGTAAAAAAAACCCCCAAAACCAATGCCTGAGTTAATTTAAGTCCATTCCGTCCTGAGATAAAAATCTACACCCCAACACTATCTCTGCTGCTCAGCATAGAGAGAAGAAAGAAAGATGGGGAAATGCTATTGCAAAGGCACCTGAGTCCCTGGCCTTCACACATTTTCCTAGAGAAAGGGTAACATCTACACACAAATCTTAGGGGCACAGCTGGGCACTGCATTTAGTTCCTTTGCAATTAACAATCACAAACAAACTTGACTAATTATATGCAGTGCCACTGCTGTTCTGTCAGCTCAGCAAATTAGCAAATATGAAAAAGACTAAGACAACCCAAATTGTGCTTTGTTCATTTGTTTTGTCAGCTGTAGTTTCTGTTAAATTATTTAAGACATTACTTCATAATATCCCTGTATATTTAGTAAAAATAAATAAATAAATAAAAAATGAAGGCTTCATAATATGGGACTGCTATACTCTGGTATTCACTATATCTGTTGAAAGGAAGAGAGGCACAGCGAACTGTGTGAACAGGATAAATATCCACATTAGATGAATAGAAAGCTCTGCTGAAATTGTTTCTCTTACAAGAGAGGATTACTGTTGGATAATGACAGTGTTAGGGTTATGCTTGTGTAAACGCTAAAACTCTATAGCACCTACTGATCATCAACCTCCATTCATTAAAATCTAATTAGGATTTTCTATGCGTATGTATAAAGCCTTCCTTAAAACCCAGACTTACTTATGGTTGAATTCTAATTAGACAACTAGTCCCCACTTTTCATTTTCCATTTCACATTACAGGAAAGGCTTACAGGCCAAACAAATGGTTTTCAGCATCAGTATGTTAATGAAGTGCAGCCTCACCTCCTAAATTGCTCACAGTCCTTGAAGAGGGCTGCGATTTGGGTAAGCCGCCACTGGAAACCTTTTCTACAGATAGCAAGAGTTATGATGGGCCTTTCATGATAGCTCTAATGTTCCTTCTCCATCTCACAGGGGATCACAGGAGACCATTTTGAATGTTAAGACATCATGATTCAGAGATCAACAGTGTTGTGAAGAGGGTGGGAGCAGCATATCTACAATGAACGTGGAGGAGGCATCAGTAGCCTGATCAATGAGACTTTGAGATGACCACTGGGTTCTCCTCTCTGCTGCTATTGCCATGATCTCTTGGCTCCCTGGAACTGGCCAATTTTCCATCTTTATACAGTAGCATCCAGGCTTTTCCAATTTCCCAAAGAGCAAAGCGAAAGGGTAGATTTGTACCTTTCAGACTAAGGAGAGAGAGAAAGAGCACGATCAAAGAATAGAGAAAGGGCAAACACAGCATAGTCTCTCCTCCCATATCTCCAGAAACAGCAGAAACATCCACGGATGAGGATGATAAAGAGAGATTAAACACGAATCCTTGAACCCTGAGATTCCAATTCCCATCTGATTTCCAGAAGGCTGCAGTGCTTGCAGCTTAGCATATTGATCTGGACATCTCCATCATTACGTGGAATTACCTTCAAGCAGAGAGCTCCTTCATTTTGAGTCCACGCCTTGTTTAGTCCTTATCCAACCTTAACAGCACACCACTGAGAAATCAGTCCCCTACTCTCAGTAACAAGAACATGGGTGGACTGATACAGTGCATCCTTCTCTGCTTCCAAGAATGTCATACTGTTGGCATGGCATTTCTTTTGAATATTACCTTTGGATTCCATACCAGGAAGCTGGTTGCTAATTAATCACTGGGATTGTGGCCAACCAGCAAACAAGCATCAGTGTAAATTAAGAAAAGACATACCTGAAACTTCTTGTTGGCTGCACTCAGCAGGGAATACATCTGCAGCAGTGGCACAGTTTTGGTTCTAAAATCACTTATTTTTTAGAGCAAAGATGTGACATATGAAGCTATCATCATTCATTGCTCCTCTTTCCATCCCTCCCCCCCTCCCACGGTCAGTTGAGGACAGCAGATAAGAGTTGCAATAAACTGTACTCCATTCACTTTCAATTTTCTTCTAAGACATCGCATATTTGCCTTATGGAACAAAAAGAATGACTAGTCAGAACTAGTGCAGCAGAACAATTTGGGGTAAAGGGTTGAACAACGAGCCAGCTGAAAACAAAGGGACTACAGCTTCATTGCAATGTGTGTCAAGGCAATAACATAATTGGAGACAACTGCTGCAGTTATGCATGGACAATTAATTTGAAAACTTCAACTTTATTTATATGTTCAGCAATTAGAGGAAAATACATAACAATTGCCTGAAATTCAGAAAGATCCCCATATAAATTATGTACAGGATTTGCACAGTTCTAAATAAAATATTAAAAAGATCATAAAACTTAATGGCTCTTCCTAGTGTTCCAAGATTAATAAATTTACCTTTCTTCTATATTAAAAACGTCTTTGTAGAGGTTTTTCTTTTTGTACAAAACCTATGTAGAAGACAATGAACATATCAGGCCCAGATGCTACACGAGGCACTTCAGGATCATGAAGATGTTACCCCCATGAAAGTTGGATTTCGACTAAACACACACACACACTCATGCACATACA